TTTTTTTTCAACCCAATAATCTTCTTTCACTATGCTGCAAGAGTTCTACACAACAAAATTCTCTCTACAAGGATACTTCTGGTCTCTTGCATTTTTTTTGTAAAGAGATTCTGTCTGTGCTCATATAACACTTCAAATATTTCAGATAAAAATGTAAATCACAGAGGCAGGTGAAATTCAACATTACAATTTTGAACTACACAGTACTGTATACATTTAGATGTTAAATTGCCAATATCTCTGATATGAAAAACAATCTTTAAAAATTTGGATATTCCACAGATATTTTATTGATAATGTTTAGCTAAAATCCATGGTGTGCTAAAGGGTTTCTGGAACTTGATATAGTACTATATTCAAAAAATATAGAACATCCTACCTTTCACAGCAAGGATATGATGCCAGGAAGATGTTTGAATTGGCAGACAAATTTTTCAAAGACCTGGGCTTGGAGAGTGTCAATGAAGGTGCAAAAGATTTCTACAATCTCTCCATGATTGAAAAGCCAGAGGGGAGAAAAGTTGTGTGTCATGCATCTGCTTGGGATTTCAGTGCATCCAATCAACTCCCAGGAGACTTCAGGTATATGTTCTCATATTTTCAATTTGTGTTTCCAAATTCAGCGCTATATAGAGAGTACATTTAAAAAACTCTTTTGAGCACAAAGAATTGTTTTACTTCAGGTTGAAATGCATTCTTGAGAGTTCTAAAATTTGGACACTTATGGGAGGGATTTTTCATTATTGACAAGAAATATTTTATCTTGCAGGATAAAAATGTGTACTGATGTGACCATGAATGATTTCATCACTGTTCACCACGAACTTGGACATATTCAATATTATATGCAATATGTTGATCAAAACCCGCTGTTCAGAGAAGGTGCCAACCCTGGTAAGCTATTTATCATATATGTATGAGTATTTTCTGTTTCTAATTTTCAAATGTACACAAAATGGTCTTGAACAACAAATATTTGAAAAAGTTTAGGGAACAAACCTTGGCTTGGTGGCAATTTTGTCTCATTTTGTCGAAAAGAATGGAATTCAAGTCAGAAGAGAGATTTGTGCAAAAGAGGGCAACAACTTTGGGCTAGTCCAAATTTTTAAATGTATGACCAATTGTGGATGCAGCAGGGAGTCCAGAATAACATTGTAATTTTAGGAAATTTTAATCTCCGCATATATCTACTATCCCCTCCATTTAACTTTACTACTTGTTTTTTTTTTGTTTATTCAACTTTTCAACCCTTTTTTTTCTGTCAGTAAAGGGACTAATCTATGGATTTTGCATAGTTTATAATGAGAAGTACTTCTCATTATATATAGCATCACTTTTGTACACATACAAATATGTGGGTGTTGGACTCTTAATTGGACGCGTCCGTTAAACGTCCTTTTCAGACCAGCCCCAAATTTTTGCACTAGGTTTTCCTGGGGTTTCAACTCATGCTGTCAACTGCACTTTAATAGTTTAATCAATCACCTTGACAAGGTTTGTTTGAGCCCCCAATGTACCCAAAGGTTACAAAAACAGGTATGCAGTATAATCTCATTACAACAAAGTTTTGGGGACTTCAGAAAAGTTTGCTCAACTGAATAATTTGTTATAAGGAGATTTTAAAAGACAACAACAAGAAAATTTCCACATCAGACCCACCTTTGATCATGTTGATCTTGCTTTTCTGGAATTCTCTAATTTTTTATTTCTTTGACAAAGTAAGTTTTCTGATGAAAATTAGCTTCAATAGTGTTTTCCAATATTTACACCAATCTCTTCATTCTGGAAGGATTTTGTGTGGAAGAAAATTATTGGAAGCATGTATGTCATTGATTATAGCTTCCATTAATGCTACAAGAACCAGTCAGTCACTTTCAGGATCAAAAATTTCAGATTGTACGTGCCTTTAGTCAGAAAATTTCTACCTGAAGAATCTGTCAAACATTCCTCAAAAAAGTATGTTAGGCTAAACTTGGGAAGTTTGTTATAACAAGATTGCTTCAAAATACTGTATACTCCATAGGCTTGTTACCAAGAGTTCAAAAAAATTGAGTTGTTTTGAACAATTTTGTTGTAACAGTAATTGTTGTAAGGATATTCTACTGCTGTGCATATAAAACAAATTTGTTTCCTTGTGTTATTTTTCTAAGGTTTCCATGAGGCAATTGGAGATACATTGGCTCTCTCAGTGTCTACTCCAGGACATCTGCAAGCAATTGGTCTGCTGGACAAAGACTTCAAGCTGGATGATGATGCAGATCTTTCCTATCTACTCAGAGTAGCCCTGGACAAGGTTTCCTTCCTACCTTTTGGCTACCTGATTGACTTGTATCGCTGGAAGCTTTTTGAAGGAGAGATTGAGTTTAAGGACCTGAATGATGAGTGGTGGTTGCTAAGGTAAAGCAAAGGCCACATTTTATCCCACAGTTGAACCTCCTCAGCAAGTCAAAAATGTACCCAACTCAAATTGAATGCTTTTGAAACTCAATAACTCAAAACATTTTGACTATAACCTATATATTGTAGTCATATTTCCTTTTTCACATGTGCTTAAACTTGAAAAAAAATGTAGAAAACCTGATCCAGAACATATCCAAATTGTTGACTATGGTTTTCATGATGGATTTGCCAACTTCATGATGCAGGTTGAACATCTAAAAATAATAATCCATTAATAGCTACACCAGAAAGTCATTTTAATTGATCAAATTACACACACAAGCCATATTCTGTTATAGTCAAAAAAATCCTGAGTTTCTACCAAAACCAAAAGGTAGTTTAAGTTGAATCTCTCGAAGTTGACATTAAGTTGAACACATTTTGTGAAAGACTCGTAATTCGGTTGACTAAACTCGTTTACTTCACAGAACAGACGGTGGTTTTGGAATAAGCTAAAAATTTTCTCCAAGTGCTAATTACTCTTCAACAAACAACATTTCCAAGAAGAAACAAACAAGCAATGAAAAACAAAAATAATATTATCAATGTCTTTTCAGAGAAGGCTATCAAGGAATCAGAGCCCCTGTTGAGAGATGTGAAAATGATTTTGATGCTGGTGCCAAGTACCATGTGGCAGCTGGTGTACCATACATAAGGTACTTCATTTCACACATCCTCCAGTTTGAATTCCATCAAGCTCTGTGCGAAGCTGCTGGAGAATTTGATCAGAATGCCCCAGAAAAGAAACCTCTGCACTTGTGTGACATAAATGGTAGCAAACTGGCTGGAAACAAACTCAAGTAAGTGGCTGTCAATGTATTTATGTGGAGTATATATGAACAGTGGGATCTCAAGATTTGGACACCCTGAAATGTTGATGATTGAACTTGGGGACACTTGCAACTAAAAGAAATCTGGACAAACAACTGGACAATGTCTCAAGACCTGGACACTTTTTGACAGTATTAGAAATACTGAAAATTAAATTTTTATTTTCAAAATTTGGATATCTGCCCAACAAATTGAGCTATTTATATGCAAAAAATGTTTTAAAAATACGAGTGGTATCTTGAAATTTGACCTCATGCAATTTGACCATCCTGCAATTTGATGGTTGCATTTGCTGGGAGGTTGACTCTCTGACATTGTCTTGCAAACTTGAGTGCTTTGCAATTGGACCACAGTCCAGCAACATATTTGGGTTGAACTACAAGGCTCCACCTGTACTGTACTCTAATTCATGATTAAAATAGGCTAATTTTGTGCTAATTGTTTCAGAATCCTTTCAAACTTTTTTGCACACTGTGATTTAGCTGGCCATGTTCTTGTTTTTTGCTTCCTCAGCTCCTTCTAATATTAGAGGATCAAATTCTGTCAAGCTTTCTTCTGCACAGTCTTTTTCTGCATCTCAAAGTTGAGAAACCAATTTGTTCAATTTTTTGGGAGCTTCATGCCTAATTTTTTGATGAACAGAAACAGTAAAATATGTTCCCATTGAAGTCTTTCAGAAAACATGATCTGACATACATATGATTACACATAGGGACAAGGTCCAAACACCAATTATGTCCACATCTTGAGTGGGTCAAACTGTACAGAGGTGGACTCTCTCTGCACAAAGGCTTGTCCACAATGATTTCTTCCACAGAACAAATTTTCCCTTATTCCCATAGGGTTATCTCCACTAGTTATACATGTTCACTGTAACAGAATTCTTTCTCCAAAATTTTTATCTCTGGGCCCTTGAATTTCATTGTTGAGGTACTATATACAGAGAGAGTGCACACATTAAAAAAAATCGAATGTGCATCCAAATGTGGATGCAGGAGTGAATTCAAAAGAAAATAAAGTACTGTATTTTTGGGTGGAATTTTAAGCTTGAAATATATTTGCTGATTTCCTTTATTATTTACGCGATTTATTTATGTACAGAATTTAAAAATATGTATTGATGTATTCATTAATTATTTATTCATTTTTAACGACTTCATGAAGGAAATAATTTCCATTGATTGATTTATAGGAGACTCTTGAAAGCTGGAGGCTCGAAACATTGGGAGGAAGTGCTGGAGGACATGACGGGTCAAAGAGAAATGTCAGTGCAACCGCTGCTGAACTACTTCAAACCTTTGCGCAAGTATTTGCAAGACTACATCAAAGAGCATAACGTTCCTGTCGGCTGGGAAATTGCGTTCTGAAGTGTATCCAGGCTAAATTATTTGACTTCGACCAGGATATATTCCCACATTGTGTACGGTTAAATAGAGCAAGCTTCGTGCTTCATTCCGAAATAAATAACTGATGGTTGAAAATTTATTGCACAGCATAGTTATTATTTCAGATTTCAGTGCGAAAGTTTTCGACCGCGCGTGACATGATGATAAACCTGACGATCGTTCATTTAATGGACTGAAGTAAGAATAAATTCGACGCCACTGCATTCGACATGAGTATTTTCAGTCTTAGTGATTCCAGTACAATATATATCCAATGATAGATCCATATTTCGATTAATTCTTCATACATACACGTTCAGTACTGTACTTCGGGAATGAAACATCGCGTTACCTCGAGTGACACCTATCTTCGAGAAAAAAAGCTTGCACTGAAGAGTTTGTGACGGAGCGGCGGAGTGTCCCTTACTCATAGTTTCTTGCGCCGTTTATCCACTATTCTTCCATTTTAAACAGTCTCCAGCACAACATCTTCTATTTCAGTCCACCCCATTTTTTTTTCTGTGCAGATTTTGAATTTTCTAAATTTATTTTAGACAGGCTCTTCTGCATGAGATAACCTATACATCAGCTAAGGGGAAGGGAGCTGAATAAGGTGTTTGAATGTGTCTAAAATAAGTTATGGGTTCTAAAAGTTTTAAAAAATCCCCTGAAAAGAATCAGCTTTGCAACAGCCAAATAGCGCAGGTAAGATGTCATTCAGCAGGTTATTATTGGGTATAAAAGAAACCATAACACTTATTGACATACAAAGAAAAATACTCAAATCTGTTTTGAACTAGGATTTATGATAACAAAGGGCGTATGTGCAAGTGCTTTTTTTGATTTCCTGGGTGGTCTGTCACACAAAAAACGATTATAAGCAATAAAACTAATATTTTCACAACTTGCAGCATAATCAATTTTTAAAGATTGGCTTTCAAAAGCGTAAACATGAAGGTCCTTTAAAAATGTGATTGTATCGCAATATAAAGTTTTAAATGTTAGCATTTTTATAAATCAACTAGACTACAAGAGCGTCTGGATGGTTATTCACTGTATTTCACCAAGCTGAACTATTTTTATATGTTTTCATCACAGCAATGGGCTCTTGTATAAACAAATGAGTCAATTAAAAAAATACATCTGCATAGGAAAAATTCTCCATGAAGACAAATAAGGAAGTGACTCAATCAATACAACCTTCTGAATAGAAATGGCATTTTTGAAGAAATTCAAAAATGCATCCTCAATAAGGCATGAATTGTGCATCTTGATTAGTGAACATTTGAAAAGTACATTTTGTGCTCCCAGCTCATCACATAATACAATTATTCTACCCCTTCATCAGTTCAGAGGTTCTGAAGCTTGGATCAACAAATCTACTGTTTTTGTGTTCATGTGTTTCCATGACCCAGAATGCTTTTGGCCATGCTGTTTCCTTCCTGAACATTTGTCACACAGGGAGCATCAGGGACTGAATCACCTCCTATATAGTCCCAAGTAAAACAAAGAAAGGTATAGGAGTTGGTGTAGAAGTGTAGATAAACCTCTGTGTAGCAAACGCAACCCACACACTGCTAATCGCAAAAGCCGAGTTATCACACTGAACCAAACGCAAGGTTCTCCTTCAGATAAGGGCAGGAGCAGGTACAGTATCTCACTTCACCTCAAACTGAGTCCACCCGGACAAGTGAAACAAAAAACTTTTCATAAAACGCCATGATTTTAATACTGAGAAACCTTCCAATGCTTGGACCCCTTCGCACAAAGTGAGCCATTAACCCTTCAGTGGTTGGTGTTTTTTCTTAATTTGGCAGTGTTGGGGCCAGGACTTTGTTTTTGCAAGCTGTAGTGAATTTTGGTTTGACCAAAGGTCATCAAAACAGCACCTGAAGCTTGAGAGTGACATATTTTAAGCAGGGAAATATTTGGAGAAGTAACAAGAGGTAAAGTATAGTGATGTTCACTAAACCCTTTCCCCCTGAGAAAATTTCTTTTTTGCTGAAGTTAAAGTCCAGGCATGAGATACAGTACTTTTTTGCTCTCCCAAAACTTTTTTGCACATATAAAAAATTTATACAAATATTTCTGGATTGGGGCTACATTTGCCCATGCAATATTTTTTAACCCTTCAGTATCAAAGTCAGGATATTTTCACAAGACTTTATACCCAAGAGCACTGAGAAATAAGGTCTAAATAAAAAGTGCAGTATTTGCTTATTTACTGGCATGAATATTTGATGAAATAAATCCTTACTAGGTGTTTTTTCTGTACTCCTGGCATATGAGTATAGCATTGAAGATTTCTGAAAACAAAAAGATTCACCCTTCATGGATTTTTCCCAACTTGGGCCTTCTCAATCCAGGTGCACTTTGATGACCTTGGGTTAAATTTAAATGTGGATGTGATCAAAAAATCCCAACTTTGCCAGATGATGGAAAGGAGGCTACCACCATCCTAAACTGAGGGTTAACTTCAAAGTGTCTGGTGAGCAAATGCTGTCAAAATACCTGGCATTACTGCTGAAGGGTTAATCCTTGGACAGGAACAGCCTCCTTTGAATCCTGTGGCAAAGTCCAGATTTTTTTTTTTTTTGTCTCAAGTGCATTTCACTTTGACATAAGGGCACTGGAATTTACTTGGGTGTTGAAAAGGCCAAAGTTGGAAAAAATCCAGGATGAAGGGCAAATCCTTTTGTTTTCAAAATCTCCAATGCTAATCCTATGCTATGGATGCAAAAATACCACACAGCACAGAGGAATTTGTTTCTATTCTTAGGCTAACTTTTCTCCAGATTTATAATATTTTTCTTTATTTCTGACTCAGGCCTTATTATAACATTAGAATTTGTATAATATGCGGTGCTCATGGACACACATATTTTCAAAAATTATCCTAATTTCGGGAGGGGGGGGGGGGGTTGCAAGGGATACTGGGCCAAGGTGGACAAAGAGCTGCCTTTTTGTCCAAAAGCTGGGGGGGGGGGGGTGGTTAGGGGCATTTTACTTTGGCCTAAGGTCACTGAATTACCCAGAGGTTGAAAGGGCTTACACTTGGAACAATCCTAGTACAGGAAATCCAATTTTCTAAAAAAATCCCCAATCTTAATCATGCATGCTGGAAATGCATGAATAAACACCATGCAGTAAGACATTTTTTAAAATCCTTGTATGGCAATGCCAGGATTTATCCAGAAAATCTATTGCCATAAGGACCAAAAAAAGAGAAAACAAGAATGACCAAAAGAGCCAAATCTGGAAAATCCCAAATTTTTTTAGCATTCCTGCAGAAAAATTTTCATAAAAAAAAATAAACACTATTGGGTGGCATTTTTTGTGCATTCCTGCCATAGATTAGCATTGGAGAATTTTAAGAAAATTGGTTTTCCTTTCCTGGATTTTTGTGGACTTTGGCTACTCAGCCAAAGCTGCATTTTGGTGACCTTTGGTCAAAGCAAAATAAACACACATGTGCAAAAGTACCCCAGCTCTGCCACATGATGGAATTTGACCTTCTGCCATCCAAGGGTTATTAAGGCAAATTTTCTGCAGGATTACAAAATAATATTGGACATTTTCCACTTGGGCCTTGGTTCAAAGATTTTTAATTTCTACATATTTTTATTGCTCATGGACACAACAAATTGAAAATATATCCAGACTTTGTCCCACAAATAAGTGTTGACCTGGCACAAGGGCAAAGGATAGAAAAGAGAAGACACACCAGCAGTTATTAATGAGATGAGAAATAAGTGCAGGATGAACCTTCACCTTACTTTGACCCCTACAACCTTTTTGACCCTCCTTTATATCTGGAACAGACACACGAACACGACACGCACACACACATACACATATATATCCTACACAGACACACGACAAGGCTTTTTGAGAAAAAAAAAGAAAGATGGATGGATGCATACATTGACGAGACACGTCGCCACAATTCAACAGTCAGTCTTCCTGCATGGCGCGGTTTTTTTCCCCCCAACACCTCGTCACTCAGGGGAATTGCGCCCAGATTTTTAATCCCTTTCTTATCTGTTCTTACACTCTGAACATTCTCTCCCTTTTTCCCCCAATCGCCACCACTATACTGTATACCTCACTTCCTTGGCATCCTTGGTCCTCAATTGGTTAGTTATATAGAAGAGCTGGGGATTGACTTGTGTGTTTCGACTCCCTGTCCCCTCCATAAACTTACATACACCCCGTTCCACTCCGGAACTCACTAGTTATACTACTTCACACGAAAAAAAGTTCCATACCTTTCACCACGTGTCATATACAAGTTCTGGAACATCACTACTACAACTAAAAGTCACGTTTAGGAAGGAAAAAACCGTTGCCCGGGTTTTAGACACCTGATGGCCAGTGAAATCTTGTTACAAAAAACTTATTTCAGGAGGCCCAAATCAGTTGTTGAAAAATGTTGTATAAAATTTTGCTTTTTAAGGAGGGGAAAGTTAGACATTTGTTCATCAAGGTATTTCTGTGATGGCATTCTACTTCTGTGTAAAATGGGGGAAAATAACCTGTAGCCTGGATTTATAGACAACTATGGGTAAGTGGAATCTTGTTACAAACAACTTTCAGGGGCAACAATACAATTCTTAAAAAATGTTGGAAAGGTGGACTCTCTCTACAGTGATCTTGTCTACAATGATTTTCTCTGTATAATGGATTTTTCAAGACCCCATATGGTTATCTTCCCAGGTTTAGAAGGATTGAGATATGGTTTTAGGAGGGATGTTGTTAAAAAAAGACCAGGGAACTTCAAACCACGTCTCTTTCATTATGACATCAAACAAGTAAGAACTAGTAATAAAGAAGTTCCGTATGAAGAGTGACCTGATCATCAGAGCATTTTCAAGCTAAATAGCAAAGTTTCCAGACAGAATACAGCAATGAATATGCACTACACAAATGCAGGTGGTGCCGTGCAATTTCATGCTTATCCATTGCTGGGTAAGGGTCAAATTGCAAAGTGGTTGAATTGCAAGACAATGTTGAATTTGATGCTTTCTACATTGAATTTGACATTTTGAGTTTCTCTGCAGGTACATTTTGGGGCATGAGGTCAAATTGTAAGTTGATGTCCAAGCAAATTTAACTGCTGAATTGCAGGATGGTCAAATTGCTGGATTTCAAGTTGCAAGGTACCATCTGTACTATATATGCAACATATTTGTTACTCAGTGAGAAACTGTAAACTCAAGACGAAGGTCCAAAAGAATATCTTCACAAGAAACTGATGGATAAATCATTTTAAATTTTTAAAACAAGTTTTTTTACAAAGTTAATAGTGTCCATATATCAAACCTATAACTAAATCGTGGTACGGCATCTGTTATCAATTTAAAATAAATTTCTAGCCTGATTCATCACTTGTGCTCTTATAATAGATTTATTTTATAGCAAAATTTCTTGCTGAACTAAGAATAATTAAATCCGCATATGCAGAAGTTATTTGTATTCAAATCATGGTCTTAACTCCCAAAAGTGGTTCAATAACATGCGCATTCCATGCATGGCTAAGCCTTACATTTTTCAACATGAGTCAAGTGCGCAAAAAAATTGAGACTAGATTCCCTGTGAATGTATCAATTTTTTAGGGCATCCTTTGGATTATTTAGGATGTGCTAAAAATAAAACTAAACGAAATTATTGGAATGTGAGTTCGTGACGCAGGTGATGATCACGGATTCGACGCCAACTTGGCCCAATTCTCTTAATTTTATTTTTGCCAGAATTCCAATGAAGCTCCTTTCGAATTTTATCCGATTCACAAATTTCCAGTCTCACTCCGTCGATTTTAATTTCAGGCGAATAAATAAAGAAAACTCGTCGTCGGCGTTCATTCGTTAGAATTTCCCAGATGAAAGGAAGGTTTTAAACTAAGGCAATTCTCATCTAAGTAAACTTTAAGCGATTTTCAAAAGCGCCTAAGCGCACTTTTCCGCTACTTACCTTACTTTGCTTAACCGCATGCACCCTCCTAAAGCAGTGACGATTCTCAATTGGATTTCAACTGCAAATTTTTTTCCTCAGAGAAAATTGGTGCAATATGCAGAATTTCGAGAATCCTGACTTCAATGTGAAGCATTTCTTATATAGATCGCTCATGTGCAATCATGTGCAAATTTCCACATGACGATAAGAGGAAAACAATATCCTTTTATTTTAATTTCACCTTTCTTCTGATTTCTGAACGTACCGAAAAATAAACCAGAGTTAAAGTTGTTCATTGTTCTCATATTTCCGCCTTGCTCTGCCATATTTTTCCGATTATTGTGGACTGGAAATTAAATTTTTGAGCCATTTAAACTGCTTAATCAAATAAAATCTTAATTGTGAGATTTACTGGATTCTGAAGCGTAAACACAAATAAAGCAGAAAACCCCTGGAGCATGTCTTCGATAAAGATATTGAAATACTCGTATGTTTCAACCGATAATTGAACCAAGTCAGAGTTATTTTTCATTCATAGAATATTCAGTTTTCATTGAAAGTGGAAAGTAAAATTCTCTGATCAGTGTTTTTTTTCTAGTGTTTAAATGCTGTAATTCTCAAAACGTTTCAAAGATATTACCACTTATTAAGGAAGTAAGAAATTTCGAAAGCCATGACTGAAACTGAACATAATTTTTTTATTCAAAGATTAAAAACTCGCCACAAGTTTATTTTTATTGATACTACAATAGTGGTCAGAATTTTTTTTCCAAAACTCAATTTCACAACAAAAGAGACCTTCATATTAATGAAGCATAATAACATTAAAAAAACATCTGCTCTCATATGCCTCGTAAGTCGTAATTATTCCATGCTTACAATTATCGGGGGCTCGATTTTTGAGAATTTTTCTTCCGAATGCCACAAATTTAATCTCAAAGGAGTTTATAAAATATTGTTAAGCCATATCCTGAAGCTCTCTCTCTAGGATTTCTCACCTCAGTGCAAAAAGAGTCCATGAATGCAAAAGGGCAACGATCCGGAAACTGAGTGGGACAGACCCAAGAGTATACATATACAGTACTATAAAAAAGATATATATTTGCCTTTCTTTACTGTGAATTCGACAAACCTTAGCCCAGGATTATTCTCGCGAGGAAAACAGGAAAAAAAATCCGCAATTAGATAATTACACTCTAATTTTATGAAAAAAAGATATGCTATTTAGCCAAGCCTCTTGATTTGAATGCGATCGGAACTTTTTTTAAGTCTCTAACCAAATGCGCGATATTTTGAAGAAAAATTGAAAAACTAATATTTTATCTTGTGAAGCTATTTCTAATAATAACTATGTTTGTATAGTGTTGACAATTTTTCGAAAAATCTGCAGGCCATTAATTTCAATAAAGACTTGTATATTCTTCAATAGTGTATAGATGTCACTAATGTACCTGTAAGTTTGGAAACGTGATGAGGAGTTCTTATTCTGAATGGAAAAATAGGAGTGTAATCATCTTTTCTGTCAATCACTTTTCTTTTTAAATACTTAATTTCAAAGATGAAAATTCAAACTAGTCATAGAACAGATCATTTTAATGGGAAAAACTGTTTCTTGATGATATTCAATTTTTGCTGAAAAAATGTGGCATGTATGTGCATGAATATAAATTTAAATTGAATTTGCATTGGAAAAGTTTCATCATTAAGAGCTGCCTATTGGGGACAGATTTCACTGTGCAATATAAGTTGATGTCAAGTGTTGCAATAAAAGTATAAAGCACAACAATCAGTCCAGGACAGAACCAGGAATTCCTTATAGGAATTTGTAAGTTAACCGGATAAATGTATTTCACAAAGGTAATTACTAAACAACTCAGCAAACTCTTCTCACAACTGAGATAAATTTGTTAATGAATAACTCCTCTCAACTAGAGATGATGATATGATCTAGTAGTAGAGCGTCTGCAGTGAAATTTTTTCAAATCTTTTCAGAACCACAGTATTTCAAATACCGCATAGTTTAGTACCGTACCGCTGGTATAATACCAGCGGTACACAACCCCTTCAGGTATTTACAGTACTATAAAAAAGTAAGTTTTCAATGTCAGGGAATGCATGGGTGTATGTATACATGTCAGATGTCCAGTTGCATTTGGTGGATTGCATTTTCTTTTGTTTTTGTTATCAATTTGTGCTCTGTTTCCTGCTCTGAAGTGCTTAAATGTCTTTGAGTGGATTTGGGTTGGGTGGGAAGGGGGTTTGGATGTGGAAATCTTGATTGAACATTGTGAATGCTGAAAAGTGGCAAATAAAGTGTTCTGTTCATTCATTCATTAAATGCCATTTAAAAAATTGCCTATTAAACTGAAGGAAATTGATTCCCTGCTATTTTCAACTTTGAAAAGCTGTTTTTCACCATGTTGAAAATTTCAAAGCATCGAATATTCAAGACTTGAGTTTAAAATATTGACTGTCGTTTACAAAAATTAGTGCGGCCTTGCTTCAAAGCTCAAAAGAAGCGAGATGTTTCCTTCATCTAATTCATGCAGTTTTACTGTTCTAAACGAAATAAAATCGAAAAAATCTTGTTTTTTTCAGTGCAACTTTCAAAAATCAAGACCTGCGTTCAAATACCTCGAGTATATAACGCAATTGATATTTCAGAGACAAATTCCAAAATGCTGCACGCAAAAAAAAATCGATCGTCACGCGTAATTTTTAGCTCTTCAATTCTTGACACGTCTTTTAATTTCAGGAAATCACAGGAAAAGAAAAAAAATTCACGCGTGAGGTTGAATCCAATCTGTGCATATGATCGACATTTCAGCAGTGCTGGAGCTAGGAAAACGGAATAAAAAAAAGGTGTCGAAACTACTGAAATCTTTTGAACTGTGTGACAGTGAGTGAAACCTATATATAGGTTGAATATGAAGTGTCAGTTTAAGGCGACTGAGTGACGAAAGAAGTTTGTTCGTGGGTTGCCAACGGAGTTCGCTTATTGTCGCCTCGGGGCGTTCGCGGCGGCAGCGGCGGCGGTGGAGGGTGCCGCGAATTATTCATTGTTTTTTTTTCTTGTTGCTCGTGGCGCCTTTTGACGTGCCAAAAAAGTTGGGGCCCTCATCATGGGACAATCCGGATCGTCGCCAGTTGTGCTTCACCGCGGGACCGACGCGGAGATCGTGAGTTTTGCAAAACAAAAATTGTTTGATTTTTGGAATGGATTTTTGTGCTATTTTATTGTCATCACTTATTGAGACTTGGGATCATCCTGGGTTTGATGAATGCCTTGAGTTCGAATAAACTGTTGGCTGGGATGGGATTATTCGTCGAGATAAAATCCAGATGCTTGTATGGATATATTTTTTGTTTTGTTTTTTGAGTTGTTATAGATTTTGCAGAAATTTTCTTTTGGCGGATTGCTGATGATTGTATTTTTACCGTTTATTTTTGAGGCGTTGCATTTTTTTTGGCTGATTGCTTTTCTTGTCGTGGTGGAATTTTTCGATTCGATCGATTAATCATCGCGTCTGCAATTTTTATATTTTATGCATGGCTGAATATTCGCAGAATTTGTATAAAAATCTCATCTTAACTATCTTATTGTTAACTTTCCGATTAAATAAATTCAATAGCAGCGATGCAAATTTAAACGATTATAAGATCAGTTAATTTTATCGGGGAAAAACTGTTTCTCGAATATATTCAAATTTTGCTGCAAAAATGAATTAAAATATAAATTGTATTTGGCTTGGAGAACTTTTCATTCAAAGTAATCCTCACATTCAATGAGATGATTTCTTTGCATTTAAATATCATTCGAAAAATTGCCTGTAGCTAGAAGAAATTGATTCCCTGCGCTATTTTAAACTTCAAAAAACTGTTTGTCCCGTGTTGAACATTTTGAAGCATTCAATATACAGTATAAAGCATAAGTCTAAAAAATTGACAGTATATTAGAAAAATTAAGGCGGCCAAAAATCGGAAAAATTGAATGGAGAACAATACGGAAATTACACAGAAAACATTTTTGCAAGAAAATAACTTGAGTCCTATGATATAGAGTAAATTCTCTAATTTCGATTTGAGCAGTATGAGATTCCTCTATTTGATTTCCATGTACATTATTAAAAGTGTTTTGTTGTTGAATTGTTACAGTTATTCGTGGTTCCATACACAGTATTTGCATTCTTTTCAGCCTGACAAGTAGTGAATTGTTTAGTAGTTCAATAATTGAATTTCTAATACTGCTTCAGTTCATAATTCTCGATTTTTCTTTTCATTTTGGGTGCAATATATTGAATGCAGCGAAAATTCGCTTCATATTAGCACATTTACTCTAGCATTTGATGATTTTTAGTTTATTTTACTACATGGAGAATAATATACGTGCACGGATTCATTGGTACAATTCCCTTGACCAAATTTTTCCCTACTGGTTTTCAGGTTGTCTGAATCACATTCAAATTATAATTTTTTTCCAAGTCCTTCGTCTCATTTTCTTGTACTTATAACTGGTTTTTACCAAGCATCTCATTAATTTTGACGCTGATTATTTGATCAAGGTCCATTGTTCATTAAACCAAGTATTCAGAATTATTTCAAATTTGAAATTACATAAACTGATGCAAGATTTGATGCCTTGATTGATGCTTTTGAAGATTTGTAGGAATGAATCACTAATCTAATTTGCATTACCGTAATTTTTCTTCCGAATGACAGCATTTTTATGGAAGACTTTTTCTTACGTATTTTTTATATTTTTTCGAAGTCACCCGTTATGATGATCCAGCATCTGAATCACGACACGAGTCGTACTTTTTGGTGAAAATATTGCAAAGGATTTTTCGCGAAGTTAACTCAGAATTCTGATCATTTTTGTTGAATTGGGACAATTTTCGAGGATGTGTTTGGAATTTTGGTTGACTTTTCCGATCTTAGTTTTTTTATATTTTTATATTTCGGGAAAAAAACGAGACGAACATCATCATAATGATGTTCTCCGAATCGCGTTGGTTTTTTTTTTGTGGTTCAGATTTTATTTTGAAGAATATCTTCATGAATTCCTGGATTTGAGATTGAATTGAAATTCATTGGGTTTTCTTCGAAAAATTGGGTACATGAATTTTTAACCTGGCATTTTTTATTTTTAGAATTTATTTTAGGAAGTGCGAATTTTGTGAAATAAATGAATAGAAAGTCGAAAAATCGAAAGTTTTTAGCTGTTTCAATGTTTAACACTTTCAGAAGAGTTCAACGTTATTATGAATTGCTTTCAGGGAAAATAATTCTTTTTTAAAAATCATTGTTCCATATAGAAACTAATCATTTCATGGAGTAATTTGAAAGCATAAAGACGAATAACAGCTTGGGCCTATTTGAACAATTTTTATTTGAAACGCGGTAAATGTTTCAATCATCGTTCGGAAAATGAAATGTTTCGACTTCATTTCGATCAGTAATAAATTTCCCAGCATGCCAAATAATTTTTGAATATTTTCCTGGAAATTCACGCCAAAACGAGGGCAGAGATTGAGTCACAAAAAAATGCCAATTCTTTTCTCTTAACAAACTTCTACGTGTGTGTGTGTGTGTGTGTGTGTGTGTGTGTCGGGAAGTTTTTTTTAAATAATTCCAATTACCATCAAAATTTTCTTGATTTGAAAATGTCGAACCCGAAAAATTGTATAACTGCTAGAATTTGCGTTAAAATTAGTTTATAATCAGACCATTATTTTGCTCAGGATTTTCACCTGTACAAGGAAAAGCTCTATTTTCACGGCCTTTATTCCTCATAACGAAAATTCGTTCTAAATTTTCCTTTTCTTTAAAATAGTGAAAAATAAAGATACTGCATAAACTCCCTCAATTGCAAGACCAAAAGGGGGTGATTTTCAAAATTGCGTTTTGTTGCAAGCGATTGTTTTGAAATTTCGGATATCTCGTGCACTGATCCGAAATATTTTCGAAAGTATTGTGTTTCAAACCTGTGGCACAGCGGAACAAATGGACGAAGAAGACGGCGGAAGAAGAATAAGAGAACTGACATTTCAAGAAAACCAAATGACTGGTTTCGAAACCAAAAAAAAGGGGGGAAAAAATGAAAGCAAAGCAGCGTCGGCATTGTACTTGACTTCTATCGGACTGTTGAGTTCACTACACCGGTGAAGCCAAGTTCAAAGTTGGCACCTGCTCGTCTCCGTCGAGGTGGCAAGAAACGATCGTCCGAAAACGAAACCCTGCACAAACTCAACAATGATGTCCTCCAAAAAAAAAAAAAAAAGAAAGAAGCAGAAGAAAGTTCGCAAAAAATCCTTGAACCGGAATTCAAATACACTTCCTCGGCGCGAAAGGTTTTCATTTGTCTCTTCGCGGGGAAAATAAAATAAACCGATCGATTGAAACTCTTGCGCGTCATGTTCAACTTTTCTGCCTCAGGGGCATAGAAATGTTTTTTTTTCAGCATTATCTTTATATATTTCACCTTTTTAAAAAAAAAAAAAAAAA